GCAGATTCTGCTATTGTTTAAGTTTTACGATGCTCTCAGCTCATGGTTCTAGAAAGCCACAAGTTCGTATGAGTACACATTGGGCTGGATAATTGCTCCTGTAAGTCTGTATCAGGTAAGGAAAGATCAGGAGGAATTGTGCAGGTAACTCAAGGCAAGAACCCACACTTTCTTAACCTCCACTCGGCTTCATTTTGTCTAAAATGAAGAACCAAGTTTCTGCATTTCTGAAGCTCTAGAAGTCATTTAATTATTTTTAATATTTTTAAGTTTATTTTTGAGAGGGGTGGGACGGGCAGAAAGAGAGGGAGACAGAGGATCCAAAGTGGGCTCTGGGCTTACAACAGAGAACCCTATGTGGGGCTCAAACTGATGAACCATGAGATCATGACCTGAGCTGAAACTGAACACTTAACTGACTGAGCCATCCAGGTACCCCTAGAAGTTATTTTTAAATATAAAGTATTTTTATATGAAAGTGCTAAAACGTACCTATTTACTTGCAGGGAAACCAAAACTTCTTGCCCAGTCTTCTGACAAAATCTATATTGTATACCTAGCAAATGCATGACTTAAAATGTAATAACTAGCAGCAAGAGTAAAAATTTTCTCTGGGAAACTTCCTAGAGAAAAAAAATAATCTGATTCAAACATGTTAGTAGATGCTCTTTGAGCTGAAGACAATAGGAAGTACTTGAGAAACCACCCAAGGATCTTCTTACTTCGGTGTGGGTAGCAAACTCAACTCTAGATTTAATCTAATATGTGGAATGTCTAGCTACTAAAGAGACAGGATGGGCATCCCTGACAGAAGACGTTTTCAAAGAATATGTGTGTTAGACCAACATAATCCTCAAAGAATGGCCATCAGTGCATTGTAGGCAGACCGGCATTGGTCCAGAAACATTAGTCATTGGTCTACAAGTAGATCATCGTAGAAATTGACAGTATTTAGAAACTTCTGTAGTAACTTGACATAGCATGGCATCCAAATATGTGATAATTTTTCTAGTAAATCATTGTACTGTATTTTGTAGAAGTAATGGTCTGTGATAGATTGGACTTTTTTTTAACAGCCTTTTACCACACATAGTTTAGGAATGTTTATTAAAAATGCAGTTTCCTGGAGCTCCTGGGTGGCTCAGTTGGTTAAGTGTCTGACTTCATCTCAGGTCATGATCTTACAGTTCATGAGTTTGAGCCCCACGTCAGACTCTCTACTGTCAGTGCAGAGCCTGCTTCAGATCCTCTGTCTCCCTCTCTCTGCCCCTCCACGTGTTCCCGCCCCCGCTCTCAAAAATAAATGAACTTTAAAGAAATTTTTTAAATTTAATTTTATTTTAATTTGCATCCAAATTAGTTAGCATATAGTGCAACAGTGGTTTCAGGAGTAGATTCCTTAATGCCCGTTACCCATTTAGCCCATTCCCCCCTCCCACAACCCCTCTATTTGTTCTCCATACTTAAGAGTCTTTTATGTTTTGTCCCCCTCCCTGTTTTTATATTATTTTTCTTTCCCTTCCCTTATGTTCATCTGTTTTGCCTCTTAAAGTCCTCATATGAGTAAAGTCATATGATATTTGTCTTTCTCTGACTAATTTTGCTTAGCATAATACCTTTCAGTTCCATCC